CGTGGCGGTGATAACATGATATCGCGACATTTTGCGATCTTGCACCTTGCCGCTGTCACCTAGTGTCAAGTGTACGACACACGTTTAGATATGCAGACCGTTGAATTTTATATATCTGCTGGTGGACAAGTGTGAAACCAAACGATGGACGATGTGGCGGCAGAAGTGTCCCCACCAACGGAGTTGGTGGTCACCACCGACGGCACATCGGGAAAGCGTAAACGGCTGAAAGTGGTGATCCCCGAAAGGGTGCGTACTCAGCTACGGAGGCTTAGGTGAGTTGGTCTTCATATGGCCTCGCCGGCTCTATTTATTCTCTGAGCACCGAATTCATTGTTTTTTCAGTGAGAGCCTTGGTGACCCTTCGGAGATTTCGGAGGATATTGACTCTCATTTGGATCTCGACTTGTCCGCTCGTGTAAGCGTGTTTCTTTTTTATTACGAATGGATCACAGCAGGTTTAATTTCACGTTCGAGTTGTATGAATACGGCTTTGCCACTTTTTTATCCCTCAAACTTTTAGAATACAGACAAAACAACTCATGCGTCAGCGGAGCTTCGCAGCTTAATCTTCGAGAAATTTTGGTGTAAAAATGAATTGCCATCTACGATCACTGGCTAACTCTGAAAAAATTATGCAATATACATAAATTATAAATTGAAGCAAAACACCGAGTCACCAATTTGAACCTCGTTAGCAGGCGAGTAGTCGGCTACTGGCGTCGAACCTCATCTGTTTCTATTTGTTCCTCTTCTCTGCCGGACGGCAAAAGTAGCAGACTTCTGTCGACGCTGACGTCAAATTTTCCGCGTTTCGAAAGGACGTCTTTTGCGAGTCAGAGTTAGCCATTTCCTCCTCGTTGTTAATCCGCGGCTAATCACAGTTGACGAGCATTCGTCACGGCCGCTGTTCTCCAGGGTTCCATAATTGGTACCACCATCAACTCTAGGTACGTTCCAGCATCCATCGGAGGTTATAGAATGCTGTCCATGAAAGAAGCACAGCCCCGTTCATATTCTTTGGTAACTTGCTTCATTTATTGATTTACTCTGCGGTCGTAGTTTGCCACTTGGCTATGCTTCGCGTGTATTCGTGACGTCACATATTGTTCTGCGTATGAATCAAACCGTGACTCTGAAGATCGAGTAATTGATTCGTATATAGGCTTTCATCTATAAATCGATGTGAAGAAAGTTATTTTATTTTAAAAAGAACTTGTCGGTCAGAAGAGACTGAAACTTGGGTAAATAATTAAGCCGGATTGCGTGTTAAACGTTGTTTTATTTTAGATGGCTGTATCCTTTGAAATTAGTTCCTACACGTTTCTTCAGCGTATTCTATAACTCGGTTTGGAGCATCGAAAGTCATAGATATTTTTTGAAGTTTAACATTATTCTCACTGCCATTCGCCGTATAGTGCCTGATGTCGATTTCTCTATCTTATCCATGATTTCCCTTGGAGAAGGAATTCATTACACATGGCTTTGCGGCGTGGTTGTTAAGTCGATAGAGCATCTGACTCAGAACCAAGAGGTACGGGTTCGAGCTGCAACGGGAATCACTCATCTTTTTCCTTTTGAGGTTGATAGATGAGTAGCACTGTGTGAAAAGGAAACAAGAGGCTACACACTATGCTTACCACATAACTACTGTCGTCTTTGACTTTAGAATGAAGCTCTTCTGGCTGTTGACATGGAAAAGAAAGTAACAGAAAGTTGTTCAATATTGCAATGTGGGATTTCCTTCACTTTCATGATTGGGCCATTGCGCGCCTTCTTTTTACGATGGTGCGGTGGTGATCACCATTTCTCTGCCATCACCCACGAGTGCCTAACTTTTTTAATGCCGACTCAGCAGGCATGTGGTAAGCATAGCATTTAGTCTTCTATTTCCTTCCTACAAAGTGTGGCTCATTTATCAACCTTAAGAGGAGGAAGGGTGAGTGACCCTGACTAGGTCTTCAACTGAGGACCTATCGGTTTTGAGTTCGACCCCCTGCCGACTGAGCAAAACCGGTCATTTGAAATGAAGATATGGAAATGGAGATTGGCGACCCACCACCAACTTCATAAAAAATGGCTGCAGAAATGACCTTATCATGAAAGTTTAGGGAAGATCTTCATTCCAACAGTTACAAACATCCATTTTCTTTCTTTCTACCGAAGGCAGTCAGGCTTCTTTCTAATCCGCATTGGACTAGATTAGGATCTGGTTATCGTCAAATTTTGCCTTCACCCCAGAGTTGACACTTGATTCGGTATTCAGTATTTATTAATGCAATGAACGAAGATGCTTCTTTTTAATTGTACAAATATGTATAATTCTTGTAGAAAGGAGGACAAGGCTATGAGGCAGGAGGATCCCTGAGAGTATGAATTAGACATTGCACCACTGATATTTTGCACAGCTCAGTTCTTGTCTTTGGGATAATGAAGTTTCTTCTTTAGTTGAACTACTATGAGAGTAGAACGCTCTAACATCTGTAATTCAGTATCCAATTGAGATGAGTTCTTCACTGTTCAACCTCGAAGTTTCTACTCAGAAACCGATCGGTTTACCTTTTCTTTCATATGGCGTAGCAATGGGTGAATATTTTTATGGTTCTGATTTCAGTTCTGTTAGCTACCCAACCGCGTCAAGGTGGTACACCGATGCCACGATGGTTTGGTAAAGTGTTGCATTCCTTGTACGTCGCTACAATCACTGATTGATGATTCATTCATTTTTCTCTTTTGAGAAGGTATCTGCCTCTACCGTGTCTTCTACGCACATGGATCAATACGATCTACCGTCTCAGAGTAAATAGACGCCTCTATATCCTTCGTTTGATCTTCATCCAGGTTTTTCTTGGCACCTCACATGTGACCACTGATTCAGTTTATGGATATTTTTGCCCGTCCCTTTGGCAACACAGCAGAGAACAATGAGTCCGGAAAGATTTAGAGATTTCTTTCATGCAGGTAGTTTCAGGCTAATTTTTCATATTTTTACGTTCTGCTTGAGTAAACTGTTGTATCGGTTACTCTTAAAACGGGTTGGAATCAGATTGACGTTAAAATTTCTGATGGTATATGTAGAATGTGGAACGAATTTAGTGGTTGGATACGGCCTGCGGATAGCCGCGAGAAGCTTAGCCGCAGCATATACTATGCCTTGAGGAATTAGTGGTCGTCTTGGTTTGTATCGGTACGAATCTGCTTGTCTATGCGGAACACTTAGGTTTGTTATAATGTCCGCTAAAATATGGTGAGGCACCGCTCCGTGGGGCAGGGGAAAAATTGCCGGAAATCGCCAGTAACTGCCCCAACTCACAGAAAGAAACTCCGAGCGGACCAAGCCTCACAAAGCGTCCCCGGGACTCTCATTAGGCCTCATCAGACATTCACTATTCCTTGCATGTATGGGCAATAGCCAAAATCATTCGCCGTGTTTATTTGCTTAAGTGTCGACAAGAAATTATGACAGGCTAACTGTACGCTTAAAAATTATGCATTAGTAGACTGCAAGTAGTAGGCGAGAATAAAACGATCGATTATGCTCTGAGTTAGCCCGAATATTTCGTTTCAAACAAGTTTATCTCTTCTGGTTGGAAAATGACAAGGTATGTGGCTTTAAAGAATAACAGAAATTTTCTGCACATTTCTATCTCACAGATAATTCTCCCCAACTGCTTGTTTGTTTCTGTAGATACTCATTGTCATATGGTTGCATGATTGTAATGGTAGGTGCACATTATAGTATCCTTTGAAATTGTCTTTCCAGATATGAGTCAGCTAAGCGGTTCTCTTTACAGAACTTTTTCAGTTGGAGCCAGATCATTTTGGCGTGTCATAAGGTTTATAGATCTTCTGATTCTGACCCACCAGCTTGCTGGCAGCCAGAATGAAGAGGTTAAATCCTCTTGCCCCGTTTTAGATGATAGTTTTAAGAGAATTTGTACCAAGTTGTCCTATCAGAAGGGGAGTTTCTTGCTAGCAGCTATGGAAGACCAGCAGGTCGTTAATAGAATTTATACAGCAGGCTCATGGCTGTCTTCTATTTATACATTATATTGCCAGACTGTTTCGTTCGAATGCCGAACCTTTTATTATCTCGTGTAAGCATAGAAGAGTACGTGTTCAGAGAGGTTGCAAATTTGCGCTTTTCGGTTACTTATCCTGCTCTCTGAGTCCTTTGGTTTTATTAGGCAGCAGATATCATAAATCAATATTAGTGGATATCAGATAAACCGTTATATGTCAAGCAGTTTAATATTGGACCGTGTTTATACTTGATATACAGTTTGGTAAACAGTGACGAGAGAATCTGTCGCTATCGCGAATGGTCGGAAAACACGCAGTGAACGGCAGCTGGTTTTTTCTCAACAAATCACGCCGTTCCTCTCGCTTTTAGTCGTCACTATGTCGACTATTGACGTCTGACGACGCCGCTTAGGTCGTAGTTTTTACGACGATAGCGTTTGCACGTCTGGTCTGGTTTGCTTCAAGACC